CGGCCATGCGGGCAGTGGGCGCTGTGCAAATGTGCATTCGGAGGGACTGGTCTGCATGTGCGCAGGGAGAGTGAGCTGCCGCGGCGCCCGCCAGCAGACAACGCCGGTGAGCTCGGATCGAGAGGCTGGGGCATGGGTACCATGGGGATACGAAATGCAGGCCAGATCCGGGTCCATACGACCCACTAGTGCCTGCCCGGAAGCATGCGGATGCCAGAAGCGGGCACCGGGCCGGTGCCGCGGCAAGTATGTAGCAAGTAAGTGAGCCGATGGACAAGATCAGAGAGCTCAAAACCAGCTGGGGGGCAGGGCGGCAGACCGTTGACCACCTCCGGGTCCACATTACAACAAAATGCAAGGCGGAGAAGCGCATTGTAGCCACGCCGGCGGCCCACTGGAGCATGCCGGATGGGCCCGGAAGGTGCGCACAAACGCCGGCACGGCACGCGATTGGCTCTGGCAAAGGCCGGGATGTGCCAGGGAAGCTTCTAGCCAAAACAGTCCCGCTAAAAGCGGACCGCGCGGCGTGATTCCTGGATCCCCAATATCGGGAATCGCACATGAGTGCTAGTACCAGCGAGCGCATCGTCCCCAAAGCTGGAGTCCGCGTCCAGGTAGAGTAGGGAGAGAGCTTTGCGGGGAGATGGTGTGCCGGGTAGGGCAACGGCGACGGCCGTGGCAATGGGCTGGCCCTGGACCGGGGACCCGGCCAGGGCTAGCGCTGTCGGGGAGAACGGGCGGAAGCTTTGAAGGCTGTCGGGGGTGAGCAGGTGATGTACAAAGCCAGGGGGGAGGGACGAGGCCGAGGCCGAGGCTGGCTGGTTGGAGGTAGAACATGTGGGCGAGATGTGCGCGGGTTTCCCGCCGGAGTCCTCCGGCGGGCAGGGGGGGGGTCAACTCAGAAGGAGACAACAGAGTGGTGGATGGTTTAGGCAGGCACGCGTCCTATTGGGTCCAACCAGTGGCTTGTTGGTGCCCAGATAGAGGGTAATATCGGGATTTGAGTGCTTTTGGCCGCGAATTCGTCACGAGAAACCATCGTTCGTGCATTTAATTTCACGTCCCTAGATGCCACAATTTTTTCAGATTTTTTAGGATTATTTACAAACACCTTGTTCACGTCGTTGATGGCGATGGCGACGACGTTGATGGCGGTGGCGACGGATATTGATCACAGTGATGGACGCTGACAGGAAGGTTGTCATACAACGGCCACATTGCCAATGCCAGGAAGATCACCCAGCGAACCAGAGACACAATGATGCATCATGGGCAGGTCTCAACCACAGACCTTGATTCATCATTGCATGTCTCTTGTCAGAGACATTGATGCATGGGAACCCCGGGTGGGTACTCGTGGCACCGCCTCCTTCGACCCCGCCTCCCTCGACTCCACCCCCTGTGACCCCGCCCACAACTCCACAGTCGACTACTCCACCACCGAATACCGTGACCCTGTGCCGCCTCTGCCAGTGGTTACTTCGCCTCCAGTGACACCACTCCAAGGAGCTCCAGCACATCTTGGGCAGCTATTCGGAAGCTCGCGTCTAACCCCACCACCAGCCACACCAGTCCATCGTGGCCGTGGCCGTGGTCACGGTCTGGTGGTGGTCGTAGCCTAACTCGTGTGGCACCTACTACGCCAACAGTGCATATGACTCGCGCCCGAAGCGCACACAAGAAGAGGTGGGTATTGATGACGACAGCCGTCCGCCAAAGAAGAGATGAAATAGCCTTGTAACTGTCCTACAATCTTAATGTCACGATTTTGCTGTGCGGTGCCACAATTAATTCTGAAGTCAGGATTAGGATTAATTTTCGGAATTTAATTCTGGGTTGGATGAATCTTCAAGTTGGGTTATGAGGAAGGTCCCGCAGGATTAATTGAGGGCATAATTAATCCTGGGGGATTTAACACAGGCAGGATTTACACATACAAGGTAGGATTAATTGCACATTGGAATTAATTGGGGAGGATTAATCCCACTACACAAGTACAGTACACAACTTAGGACTAGCAATTTCTAGCTCAGAATTAATTCCCGGCGCTAAAAGTTTCTAACAAAATTTAATTCTTTCGACTGCAAACGATGCGCAACTGGAGCAAATATGCGGAGCTTGAAGACTTCCTACGATGGAACCCGCACAGGTGCTTCACCGACGTTGACAAGTGGAACCTGCTGCGCAACGAAAGTGGCCAGGCCCATGAAATGCAGTTTGTTAACAATGTGTTCATGTAGTGCTGTCCACAATTATATTATGCTAGAATATATTTTGAATATATTCGAATAAATATGATTATATTATGCCCTCTGCATATTCAGACCCATTGAATATGAGTGATTATGAATATGAATATATTATGAATATAATATATTATACCCTGGCCATAATTGACCATATTCAAATACACCAGCAAGCCCTTCAGCCAGAAGTACTAGCTCTGTAGCAGGCTACTATAAAGCAGTGACAACATCTTCAAACTCAGTCTTTGCAATATCAATGACTCTTAGCAGTAAATCAGGCAGAACAACATCTGTATCCAGCCCTGACAGAGGGCTGAAGTTGACCTTTACATTGTTGCCCCAAACTTTGATGACACTCTTGGTGGGTATAAAGGTATCATGATTAATCTAGAGTTTTGTTTAGGTTAATATTTTATTGTCGGATATCCAGGCTATGTTATTAATCCTAGTCATTGCTGCAAGGAGTATCTCTGTAGAGTGCCTGTTCTACAGCATCAAGCATAGGATGACAGATATGTATGCTTCAATGACTGCAAAACTGGTGACAGAAGCAAGCATAACCAAGGAGTGGTTGAATAAACCACAAGATAAGGTGGATTATATGCCCTATGTACAAACTTGTGTAGCTTGAATATAATTGAATATATTCATATTCTGAGCTCGATTATGATTATGAATATGAATACAATTATAATATGCTCCAGCAGGGAGAATATATTATGAATATGAATAAATTATGAAAATTTCGTATTCATAATCATAATTGGACAGCACTATACCAGTTCATGTAACACGGATCTGGTCTATGAACATCAAATAACCCAACTTGAAACTGTCTAACGCTTTACTTGAAATCATACATTTTAGCCCCCGAACTTGAAGTATTCTGATATCTGGGGCCCTCAGGCTCAGGCTAGTAACAAAATAATAATATTCATATTTGTGTCGACACATCTGAAGCTTCCCTTTTCACTCTCAACAAAGCACACTTCCGCCCGGTCGAGTCCGTCGGCATGAGAAATGTCCCTAGTCGCGCGTGAACGACGCCATCAGCAGCGGGCATGAAAGCGAAGTTGCAGATCAGCTCTGCGGCGATGATGTGCATTTCTTGTATCCTGTTGTGTTGTGTTCAAAACCCGGTAACGCCCACAAGTGAGGATACTCACGCAAATCTCCATCTACAGTGTGCATAAGTAGGACACGTTACATCAGCAAAACTACATTTTACTGGGCGGTCTGGGACCAGACATCCCAGGTCACCCAGTAGCCCAAAACACATTTTGGGCCCAGAATTACTTTTGGAAGCATAATGCGCTCAGGGATCCAGAACACCCCCAGAACGAATTCTGGCCCCAGAACGATATGTTGCAACACCCACAATACCAGCCGGATAGTACTCATACAGGCTTTTACACAGATATATAACAACGAAGCGGTATTATTCAACGATATCATGTACATTGGCAGACTAAACACCTACGTGTAGCCCCCGAAACATGCCCCCCTACATTCAACCCTTGAAACAGGGTGCCTCACAGTGACACTCCCGGGACCCGGAGCACGCCGCACACAACCGGGTTGCGTTACGCTGTCCATTTCCTCCCCCTTCGTATTCGTGTTGGGTGGGTGTGAGACCAAATGTGGCGTTAGACAAGCCGGGACTGGCGTTGGCATGGAAGGGGACAGCGATAGGGGGGAAGTGAATCCACGATGGGGGAGCGACGGGGGGGAAGGATGGGTTATGGCGGGGGTGGGAGCGGTGAGTTATAACGCAGAGGCCCAGCACTTGCGCTCTTGCTGCTTGTGAATTTGCGACTTGCTGGTATGCTTGCGGAACTTGCGAACTTGAATGACTTGAAGCGAGATGTTGAGGGTAAGCCTGAGTAACACTTGAAGTGCATTGAACTGCCCTTGACGTGGCTGGGGATGTGTGGAGCGGGCGAACGACGAGAGGAGATGGTGGGGGAGGAAGAAAAAGGGTGGGAAGAATTGGCCTTCTTTCGTGCCAGAAGTGCCATCCGTGATTGATGGTGACAGGACCCCCGAAAATACGGTCTGGACTTGGAGACAAATTCGGACAGAATTGGGTCCAAAAGTGCCCAAAACTTTGGTGCAAAGTTCGGACAAATTTGGTCTGGAGGTCCGGTAACTATGTGATAAGGTGCGGACATATTTGGGCGATCTGAGAGGATCCGAGGCGCCAAAAGTGCGCCAACTTGCGCCAAACTCTGCCAATTGAGGCCATCTTATCTAGTATCGCATTATGTCTTGTTCTTTTGCCAAAATGCAGTCTAATGTAGTATACTTTTGATGCTACGTAAATAGACGTAAATCATTCGCCGCCGGACAGCGCCGAGCAGCGCCGAGCGACGTGTCGATGCCTCATGTCTTTCTCTCTTCTGACTCACCACCACCGTCAATGAAACTCCCTTTCCTGACAATAGCGTGTCTAGTTGGCCCTTGGACCATCTTCTGGTCACTACAAGCTACCCTCCAAGAGAGATGTAAGTGACTGCTAGCGCCGGCCTCATGAGCTCAGATGCTCGATGGAGCTGTCAACAATGCAAATATCTTATTCTCTGCTATTCTACTGGCAACAATTGCTTGCAGCTAAGCTTTGCGCATGCATTGTAGGTTTGTTGCGCGCTCACTTCGCATCATGACGACCGATCGTGTGTCACGCATAGGGGCTTTTTCCGCACTTTTTTCTCTCTTTTTTGCCGTCGACTCGCGCGTTCATCTGGTGCATACAAAATGTCTAACGAGCTCATTGATATAGATGCAGATTCAGTGTCTTTTGACCTGCAGTCTTGGATGGGCAAACCACCCGATGCCCTCGTTGCAGCACGTTCGGAGCTCCTCAGCCTCCCCACCGGCCTCAAATTCCCATTATTTCCTATACCGACCCACCTCCCCGCTGCAGAATTCATCGCGCTCCAACTGCCATATGCTTCGCGCTCGTCTGACATTGTCAGCGGGTCAGTCGCAAGCTGGTTCAGTCGCGACGCCCCCTGTACCTCTATCAGCAGTACATTTTCGCGCTCTCTTCCGTCGAGGGAGGTCATTCAACGGCTACTTGCAGCGTTGGGTCAGTTTTGGCTTGACGGATATCAGTCGATTGTTGACCCACGATGCAATGACGGACAAGACCGCTTCCCCCTCTGGACTCTCAAGTTGTGGCTTGAGCTGGGGTTAATAAGCGATACCCAAGCGTCATGGAGGTCTGCTTTCACATATCTGCGTCGCCAAGCGGTGCCTGATGCGCCAGAGGTGACACGAAAGGCAGCGGAGGAGATGCTAGGGTTACTAGGGAAAATCGGCTGGGAGGAGCCCATTGGGACGACGGGACTTCAAACAACCAGTCTCATCCGATTCTTTGGCAAAGCTTGGCTGTCCGAGGAACAAATTGCGCTTCAAGTACATCATATGCGCGAACGACTGAAAATGGAACGCCCAAAATCCGGTCTTCGAGTGCTGTTCGCGCCACTGCTTTTCACCAACAAGCTTCTTCAAACCTCGATTCAGCACAGCTACGATGACGAGCATGTCCGAGACACCGTTATGAGAAGGATTGAGGAGCAGGTCTACCGCGAAGATATCGATGTTCTCTATGCGCCAGCACATGTCCAAAACAATCACTGGATTGTGGTTGCTGCCAACTTCAAGGATGGGACGGTCTCCTTTGGTGAGTGTTTCTGGGTCAAGTACAAGCTTTTTTCACTGAGATTGTGTTAGGAGATTCGCTCTTTGACAGCCGCTATGGTGTCTACCCCCGAAAGATCATTCAAAAACTACAGCTATGGTCGAAAAAAACGGTTTATGGTCCCCTTGAACGATATGGGCAATGTTCTTCCTATCGGACAACAGACAGATAGTCTTAACTGCGGGGTTTGCTGGGCTGACGCAGTCATGACTGCAGTCTGGGGTGATCCAGGATGGAAACCCCAATTGGGTGTCATGCGCAGAATACGCTGGGGCATTCGAATGGCTAAGGAGTGTGCCAGTGTTTGCTCAGAGCCAACAACTGTTTCTCCGACTGCTGGCGCTGAGCGCATGACAGCGTCTTCGACGTCGACACCAGTCACACTCCCATCTCTCCGACGTCACCACCTCAACGAGCTGCTTAACCCTGATGTCGAGGCTGCGCATACACTACCACCCGAGCAAGTGGCTATTGAGCCTGACACTGATTCAGAAGACGAAGAAGCCTCAAACGGTAAGTAATGCATAGTGATTCGGCCAATATTCCGCTTCACTGACTACCCGTAATACAGCAGCCAGTCGTACGGGTGGGGATGACTCTGACACATCCCTACATTCTTCGACTTCCGAACGGAGTACTCTGTCGGCGACAGCAGCCAAAATCGGGAAAGCACTCAAACATGGTCTTCAGCAAGTCTCGACGACAACTCAGACAACACTTACTGCGGGAATGAAGTACACACAATGGCGACAAGCAGAACCACAAAGAAGATCATCGGCAAGCGAAAGCGAAAGCGAAAGCGAAAGCCTGGACGACTCCGAGTCGGACGTCGAACCCCCAAAAGCCAGGCCGGCGGGTACGGGAACTGCACGATCATCCGTCCATACCCGCAATGCTCGTCAAGCGTTCCGGGAGGGTACCTTTCGCCTGGATATGTTGCGCTACAAGGGTTGGCTAGAGGGAATGGCAGAAATCGATGATAAATTTGCGTATCGTCCCGGAAATGTGGTTGAATGGCGCTGTTCGAAGTGTTACGAGTGGATGAAGGGGAAGCAACCTTACGATTTGACACGAGCGCGACAGCATTCAGCAAGCTGCGGTATCAAGAAACGGAAGTACAAAAAGCATACGCAAAACACTCACCGTATGGACGAGTATTTGTCTGCTGGGAAAGCAAGTCGGAAGTGGGTCCATCAATAATTCATTGACGAGAAGCTTAGCACTCATGTCTTTATAGGGAAGCTGAATTCAGAACGTTATCTCGCGTCCCATGCCCGGGCATTGGACCGGATGATGATATTCGAGTCACTACATATCTTGAACGCACAGCAGTCTCCGGAGGTGGCGGTCAAAGTGTTACAGCCTTGTCGAAGCAGTTCTTCAAGCGCTTTTTCAGCCGCCTCGACTCAAAGCAACGTCGCCAGGTGCTAGATGCGCAGGAGCAGTCACATACTTGGGAAAATAAGCACCACTCCCTTCCAGTCCGTGTTTACTCGCGGACATGCAAGAAACTTCGTCTGCGACCTGTCTCCACCGGACCGCTCCATGTCGCGAATGCCAACAAGTTCTCCGGTCGCGTTCCTTCAAAACGGCAATCCATCGACCTAAACCCGAAGACCGTCACTATGTCCATACACCCTATCGTTTTCGCTCTCCACTGATGGGTCAAATCTACGCGCGCGCTATTGGTGTGAAGGAGCTGATTGAACGGAAGAGCCGCGACTCACCATTTATCCGGTACACGCTTGGTGCCTTGCGTGGCGAATACAACGATGAAGTGTTCAAGGGTTTGACGGAAGCCATGGTCACTCAACACGACAAGGAGAGTCGGGGTGTGGGGCTCCAAAACTTTCGCTACGCGCCGGCATATGACGACTTCACTCAAATTCTTAACCTACAAAGTCCGGCAGCATACCGTACATTTTCCGAGCATCTGCCAGCACAGTCGCAACGCAATCTTCGGTATCCTCTCGTTATCTTGAGTCTTCCAAATGTTGAAACTAACCGTTGGACAGCTTGAAGGAAGGAAAACAGCCCAAGTTTCCGATGACTATCTGCGAGCAGACATATGAGCTCGCGTTGAAGCACTTAGAGGCTCTGGCTTGGACGGGGCCCGTTGGACTGAGTGTAGACGATACAAAGTTGTGTGCAGCGCATCGTCTCTATTGGGACTCGGAGAAGGGAGCATATATGTTGGTCGGAAGCTCTTCGGGTCCATTCCCGTGGATAACCCTGATGCTGTTCGCAAACTAATTGAGCAGGCTCAACTAGACAAGGCAACCAAGGTAAAATATTCTGTTCTAAGTCCTGTTCCAGGTCTGACGACCTTCTCTTAGCTTCGTCTTTTCACACTCTCAGTACAAGCACCAGGATCGACACCAATTTTATTGCATGCCATGCCAATTGGCTCAAAAAACTGGCCAGCAGAGAAACTTGAGCCGTATTCTCTGACCCTGCTCACCGGTCTAATTGAGCGAGGTATTCGGGTCGTCTCATATGCATGTGATGGAACAGAGTCCGAAAGGGCGATTCAACGGCTACTTGTAGAGCATGCAGACCAAAGGATAGAGTACGAGATTCCTGGCGACGATGACAGTGCAAACTTCAAAATTGTGATTGGCCGTTTCCGGGGCCAGCAAGTTGCCATGATCCAGGACTCCAAACACGCACTCAAGACCTTTCGCAACAACCTTTTTTCTGGTGCTCGCATACTCACTCTCGGCAACCACATTGCACATTTTGCTCAAATTTACCAAGTTGCATTTGAAGAGGGCTCCCCGCTCTACCATCGTGATGTCGAAAAGCTCGATCGCCAGGATGACGGTGCAGCCACTCGAATGTTCTCTGCTGACACCCTCCAATATATCGCCGAAAACCATCCCGACTGGCCATTTGCCATCATATACCTCTTTGTTTTTGGCGAGCTCGTCGACGCGTACCAAAACCGGTCCCTCTCTCATCATATCCGTTTTCAAATGGTTATGCGGGCGAAATATTTTCTTGATGCGTGGTCTGACTTTATTGACTGTGCGGAGTATGACAAAGCCCGCCCACCACCTTTCACGCGAATGCCTCGACATCTCACGAATAATCATCGAAGGCTACCTGTTGCTCTTAATCATCTATCGCGACGACTTTCCCGATACACCACTTCTCCCATGGCTACACTCCAGCGAGGCCTGCGAACACACATTTGGTATTTGCCGTCAACTTGTCAAGGACTTCACATACCTCGACTTCCTGTACATGGTACCTCGGCTTCGAATTTCCATTAGACATGCCATTCTACGATCTCGAACATCCGATGGGAAAGCACGAGCAGGAGGGTACTGTCACACGTTTTGGGACACGCGTGGAATGAACTTGGAAGGCCTCTCGAGCTTCCCAACAACGGATGAAATGAAGCCACTCGCCACAGCAGCTCGAGCAGATGCAAATGCGCTATGCACTGCTTGTGGTGTCGATGCTGTTATTGTGCGTCGTATGCAAGATCGCTTTCGTCGCGAAAGAATCCCGTCAATCGCAGATTGGCTTCATCGGTCTGGAGATGACGTGGAGTCCATAAACTCCGAGAACGACGACAATGCATCAATATCCGCCTCAATAGGAGATGGAAATGAACTCAATGAGCTGCTCAGCCAACTCGACACTGAGTCCTTTCGCTCATCGACTACTGCGGCTGGTCGCTAAAGCAACAACACTGTCTATGGCAGCAGCAACATTACTGGTTGACCAATATGCGATGGTGTACGTCCTTAAACTGATATTTTGTGAGCAAGTACTCATTCATTATAGTCAGCAATACTCCCAGCCTACCGTTGATGACCACCAGCATGAAGACGAAGAGGCGCAAGAAATTGCACACTATCTTTCCCGACTATCTAGCACTGACACTACACCCATCAGCGGCATGGCAGCAGTTTCTCTTATACCTAGTCTATTCGGAACTGCTGGAACTCGTCTCACCCAGCCCACACAATTCGATTACTCTGCCCTTGTATCTCTACGACGAGAGCATCAGACACATCAAGCAGCGCAAGGTGTCCGTGTTCATGTGCATGTCGAACCAGCTTCCGAATCGGCAAAGCGACAGCTTATCAAGTCAATGCGAGCCATTTTGAAGCAGACTCAAGACCGTGGCCTTACGACTGGCATTGACCGGGCGCTCCGCACACAATCTCTTGGGGGAGAGCCTGCTACCGTGACATCGGCTGGTAATGCTGCCAATGCTGCTGCGTCGGCGGCAACTTCGTGCAAGAGAGGTAATATTCTTCTTTGTCCAATTGAAGCCACTTTGAATTTACTTGTTGATAGGCTTTTCGGAAACGACGAAAGCTATTTGCTGACGCCAATGTTGCTCGATTGACCGATATCGAATCAGCGCGTATATCTGCTGTGCGGCCACTCCTTCCGCATGATTGGGTTCTTGTAGCTGCAGATGTAGTGACCCGGAACACATTTGACGTATATCTGGCTCAAGGTTGGTGGCCGCTTGTCATAGTCCTTCAAGTTTACTCAAACTCACAATTTTTGATAGTCCTCACCTTGTATGCGCGCGGGGCTGGAAAATATGGCAAGCATGGGCTTGTGGTGGATGGCGGCAAATCAAATATCGCTGCCCTCTCATTCGTTGGGGTCCAGCTATATGAGCTTTCCCTTTCTAACGGTACATTCCAATCCGTTACCAAGCAGACAGTGCATCTCGACACCTCTACCTTTGCCCATCTTCCATCTCTCCAAATCCTCGCACTAGTTAAGGCACCACAGAAATCCCACACTAGCTCACAAGTTGCCCTCTCGGATGCTGATTTTACATTGTTTTCCGCGCTGAGAGGGTCCCGCGCCAACATATCCAAGGCGCTTATCCAAGCTCGGAAGCGTAAGGTGGCGGAGGAGGTCGATGAGTAGGGTTTTTCGGCTTAGAATGGACGCGGGCAAGCACGCGAAGAAACTTTATTCACTTATGTACTAGTGCCGCAAAGATGCCTAAAAAAATTGGGACTTTAATACTTGTACGGACAAATTTGGCCCAAATTTCGTCGCCTGTTCGGACAAATTTGACCCTAGGAGGTATCAAAGTCCAGACCGTATTTTCGGGGGGTCCTATGGTGACGCCATTTCGTCCCGATGAACTCATCATGTTGCCCGCCCAGTGATCCAGTGATTCCAGTCTGCCCAGTCCGGCGCCAGTCACCCCAGAGCTCCCCCAGAGCCCCCAGGAAAATGTAGTTTTGCTGATGTAGCATGTCAAGAGACTGGGCGACTTACCCGAGACAGACATGCGGGCCGGCGGCGAAGCTCAGCCTACCTGCCCTCAGCTTGCAGTTGCGACAGAAGACGATGGTCACGTACAAATTTGCATATGGGCCCATCCCATCGCCTTGCACCACGCGCCCCTCGATCCAGCGATACGGGTCGAACTTGTCGGCGTCTGCTCCCCAGCGTGATTCAAGCCTATATGTAGCATAATTAAATGGCTATGGTGACCATGAATTCAACTCGCCGTTGGAAGGAGCCGATCGACAGCACCAGCAGCTGCCCCTTGCACACCTCGATATGGTCCACCGTGCTGCCGCTCGTTGTCGTGATAGGCTGGGAAAGCGGTATGACGGCGTCCTGGTCGGCCATCCGATGCATAATTGGGAGGGCCGGATACAGGCGGAGTGTTTCCTGCGATGACAGTCACTTGAAAAGCAGGTATTTAGTAAGGGCCATGTAACTGGCCTTGATAGCCGCGATTGAGCAACGGGTACTGCTCGAACGGAACTTGCTTGGCGCGCAGCTCAAGCGCCTCCGTGCGCAGAGCGTCCTGTAGCGCTGGTTTGCGGGCGAGCTCGGTGAATAGCCACGACAGCGCGATCGCCTAGATTGAACGATCAGCTTGAGGTAATGCCGTCTGGGCTAGCCCATACGCTCGTCTCCTGCCCCGCAATGAACAGCGTGGATGTTTGCTGTACAAGATTCTCTACCGTCAGATTTCCGAGTCCTGCAACAGTGCTCAGCCAACTTGATTATTCATAGTAATTATCATGATGAGAATACATACCTTGCTTGTTGTCAGAGAGAAGCGCCATAGAGGGTTTCTAGCGCGTTCGAGTCGTCGAGTCCCCTCTCCATATAGCTATCCACTGCTTGCCAACCAAGCCGCTCGGTATAGCGGACTTGGTCCCTGATGCGCTTAAAGACCTCCCCGATGGCCAACTTGGGCATGGCGCGCAGCAGCCAGCCGGGCAGAAGCTCGAGGTTCAGTATTTCGTCCACGATGAGCTGCGCGGGCCTGCGCGTGGCGGATTCTTCGCTGTTATGGTAGTAGTGAGTAGAGCATTCGAGCATTGTATGTGTTTGACCCACACAATTTGGCGATTGGTTTCAACGACCTCCGGCGGGACTTCTTCCAGTGGTACTCCTAAAGCAGCTGTACTATGTGAGTCTCGGCTGATCAATATCGACTGACGGCTTCAATTCACCTTCACTAATGCTTGCCAGTGCCGCTTTGGTCAACAAAGGGACGATATCAACGACTCCATGTTTGTTCTCGTCCATACATGCGGCCAAACGATCCACAAGCTACACCCTAGTTTAAACAGACTATTCGTTCTCGTTGACTGTTGCGTACCTTCTGTGCAACGCGCTCAAATATCACTCCGTAGTTCCGGATAGCTGCTGGGGAAAAGCCGACGTTGAGCGCCGAACGCAGCTCCCGGTGCTCCCGTCCTGAATAAATGGAGTCAGTCAACCTATTGGCACAGCGCATTAAAAAATACAAGTACCCATTTTGCCGCTGACGCCGCCCTCGCTGAGCAACCAGACGATAAGTGTCCCATACGCAGGCGTATTCACGAATGCGGCGCTGTTATAGATGTATTGGAGTGCTTTGGGGTCCGAAATGGCCAGTCTATCGCTGGAGAAAATGCAAAGTCAACGCGTTGCAATTGGAGCGATTCAAAGATATAATGATTGATAACTTACACCAAACCCGCCCTTGAACCGGTAGACAAGCCCATATGCCTTGCGACAAGCGGATTCAAAGTCGCCGTAGATTTGCGGGATTTGAAGCTCCACGAGATTGCCTAGTGGTGAGAGTGAGTGCTCCCGACGACAAGTAACGTGAAGCAAAAGCGCACCAAGGAGCCATGAGCTGGGAAGTGGGCCTTGGATATGCTGTATTGCGCGCCCGCCGACGGGCCTCGTTGAAAAGGGCGCGAGTAAGGTAGGCGGAGAGCAGAAGGAAGACGATTGCAGATAACATGTGAGGGTGGGCGACTACATGCTCCCACGTCGAGCCATTCGTTTATACTTAGTAGACCCGGGACCGCGAGAACACACCTGCATGGCATGAGTTGCCGAAGACAGAAGAAGCGGTCTTGTGGCTCTTGTCCGTCCTCCCTCCACTCGGGAGCGAAACTCGTTCGCGGACGTGAAAAGACGACATTGAGTGGCGTAACAATAGAAAGCTATCGCGCTGCTTCTATCTCTCTCATGGAGACGTTCAAGTTCTTTGGATTAAATCGGCCCATCGAAAGTTGTTTGCTGGCTTTGGGTCATTCAGGAGCATGAGATTTGAGGGGGACATTGTGTCTGCAGAGTCAATTGTGAGAGTCAATCGTCGTCAGCTGCAAGAGAGAAGTGCTGACTCATCAGCATGACAGCTTCTTCTTCTTCTTGACGACAACCACCACCTGGAACGTCCCCAGCCCACAAACACTTTTTGGACCCTCAGGAAATCGTGCCACAACGTATTAAACCTCTCTGTTTACTGTCTTCCAATCCTTTTTCATCCATTTATAGCCGGTGCCGATGCTTTGCGGCCGTACTCAAGCGTAGACCATTCCCAACGAATTCAGCGACTCTCATGATGGCCGCGACTTCACCTAGCGCTGCGGTATATCCAATTCGGCACGAATAGCGGCTTACCACAGCGGATACATGAAGGACTGAGGCGTTGGGGAAACGCTTGGCTTGAAGGTGTGTCTTCTCCTCACTCCCCCTTCCACGCTTTCTTTCAGCTTAAAACTATTCGTCAGTACTCACCTCCACTTCTTTAATGTGTCGAGCCACTCTATCTTGCACCGGCGGCCACCATTGTCCTCATTCGTCCTTGTATCTTCCTCCTCCTCCCCCCATCCGCTGTCAAGACACGCTGAAGGCCGGCGACTCGACCCAGTCACCAACGTGGAGGCTATGAATGATGCTAGAAGGATGAGTAAAGACTCCTTAAAGACCGGGACGGTCTCTTCAGCGCTAGCGGGCAGAAACGGGGAAAGGCGAAAGTGATACTGTCTAGTGAGCAGTCCGGGAGCTTGGGACCACATGTGCGTTATCCTCAATCTCCTCCTGGAGCTGTGTGTGTGCTTAGCAACACCAAGAATCGTTTTTCTCTACCGCTGTTAACTTCATCTCACCGAATGACACTTGTCGGCGTCAAACTCTATTGTGGCTATCTTCAAGCTTCTACACGCCCTCTTCAGACCCTTCGGAAACGTCTGAAACCGTGCAAAGGCAAACGCGAGGCAGATTCGCTGCTGTCGCCACTTTCCTAATTTGGACCGACTTTTTGGTCCGTCGAAGTTTTTCTTTACCTTGTTATTCTTCTCTCTGACACTTGCCCAGATGCTTTACGACGAATATTTCACCTCGATATCCATGTTTTCAGCCATCCACGACGTGTTTCTTCATTCCCGCCGATGTCC